AAATTGAATAAAGAAGTTTAATCAAGTTTTAAATTAAAAGAAATTGGGTTTTAAATTAATAAAAAAGCTGTGAAATTATTATTATTATCATTATTATTGTCATTAAAGCAGCTGTAAAATTATAATTATAATTGTTATTATTAGTATGGTACATTTCAAATGAATCAATTAATTCAATTAAAATTTTCAACTGAAGTGCATTTTAGCCAATCAAAATTGCATGTAACATTTTAGCATAGCATATGCTGCTATATCAATTAGTTGTTATCATTAATTTCTCTGGGGATTTTTACTGCACCACATATCAAAATGTTAGCTTATTTCAACGAAATGTAAAATTGATAACAAAATTGATTGATAAGATCACTCATAAGAATCCAAAAATTTGAGAATTCAAAAAAATGAATTCTAATTTAGCTAAGTTTATTTGATCCTAAATATCAATAAATTGAAAACTAATGTGAACATTCAAAGCTTACATTCTAAAGTTAACATATCGCTTTCCTGCAAGTGGAATTATATGAATAATGCTACGATAATTTATGTTACTTTTAGAAAGTATTATAATGAATATTTTTAAATAAATTAAATCGAAGACATTTGACAACAATCAAACTTAGCATACTTAGCATATCCAATCACATCTTTACAGTAAGTTAACATATGCATGCGTTAAACCATACTGTACGTAACAGTAACAAATAAGTAATAAAAAAAACACTTATAAATCATTAAATTGAAAGAAAAATTAAAAAAAATTAAATTAAATTTAAATTGTAATTAGAAGGAAAATGAAAGTAGTAGTAAGCACTAGACTGTCTTGGGAAAATAACTTTAGACAGAATAATCTGCACCTCATATATAATGTATTTGTCTCCTAGGCTTTATTTGTCTCTCTCTGTGTCCCATGAAACACTAGAATGTTTAACAACTCGAAGCCAACTAAATCCCTGTATTAATGGAAAAACTCTTCTGGAACACTCTTTTACTTCTATTGGCCTAAGACTATATGTTCCATTTCAATTCACCTTATTATTTGGACGGACTACTGTTAGATTCTTTTTAAATTATTTCAAAAAATATTGACAAAAAAAAAACTTTAAAAATTTCAAATGTTCTTTCCAAGTTAATAGAAGATGAGAAGATGAATGATATAAAGAAAAGGTCAGACCAAAGGTCGAGATTTATTGGTAAGAGAGGATTTTCGATAGATAGCAAAAGCATATTTATGCTGATTGATGCATGTATGCATGCATGATGTCGCATATGTCCAAACAAATGAAATTGCATAATTATAGAGCAATCAGATATTTGTACAAATCTATTCCTATCTATAAATCAATCAATTATGACAACAGCTAATTAATGATTCTTAGATTTCGCAGAGCATAAAACAGTAATGAGAAAGCGACAGTACATAAAAGTTAATTAGCATAGCAAATGATCAGCAGCTTGAAATTTGGAAATTTGGAGAGGCAGCATAATTGACAAAGGAGATAATTTCAGTGCTTCATCCTCATTGTCATCTCAACAAGGTTAGCCATGTCCCTTTATTTTCAATGTGCTTTTCAGAATTGTCTTGCTGTCCCAGTTTTAGCCTGATTGGCATCCTTCTATAGTTCAAGTAAACAAATTTCAAAAGGCAAAAATTTCGCAACATTTCCCTCTCTGAATAAATCCATCGAATGATGTAAACAAACATAAACCATTCAATCTTATTTAATGCTTCGGATTAATTCAAAAAAATTTTTTTTTATTTTTTATTAATATTTAAGTTTTTTTTTTTGGGCCTGAAATATTAGTAAAAAGCCTATAAGCCTAGGAGGAGTTTCAGGTCTAATAATATATTTCATCATCCAATTAAAAAATTGATAAGATCTTCTTTTTAAATCTAATTTTTTTGCTATTTTATAAAATTTGTAACAAACATTACTGAATGATAAAAATGACGAAATAACGAAAGTAATGAATATCATGCGACACATGTGACATACATCCAGATTTATTACAAATTCATTTAACCTATGACCTATTCTTGATTTTTGAAATTTTAATGATTATTATGAAAGTTGAAAAATTAATGAATTTTATGCGACTTTTAAATAATAAATATAATACATTTCTAAATGACAATCTTTTTAATATAAAAGCTTTGATAGAGGAAAATTCACTAATGGATATATGATATTTTTCAATTGACTGCTAGGCCATTTAACGATCTTTGAGCCAAGCAATAAATCTTTCATAATATCCTTCATTAATTCTTTCACATTCACACCATATACAGACTTTTACAAACTAGTATGTTTGTGACATTTTCTTGGCTAAATAAGCTCTAAGGAAGTAAGGCCAATATGGTGAACATAAATAATTTAAAAAAAAAAAAAAGAGAAAATGCTTCTTCTTCTTCTTCTTCTTCCTCTTGCTAATTTAATTACATTTGCTAGCTTTTTGTCAATATGAACCAAGAAGAGGAGAAATTAATTCATGAAATTCATAGTGAATTTTAGTTAGCTGATGAGGGAGAGGAAAGGAGCGATCAGATAGGAAGATGAGGAAGAGGAGAGGAACGGTTGGATAGAAAGATGAGGAAGAGGAGAGGAACGGTTGGATAGAAGGATGAGGAAGGGGACAAGAGCGCGGTTGGACATGATGATAGAAGACTGCAAATAACATAAAACTGAGTAATTTCAAATTAATTAAAAAATCTGTCATCTGTCATCCATTCCTGACGAGGTAAAAGAGGGGGTGGAGGTGGGGACGATAGATGAAACAGAAATGAAATTTTATGCAATTCCTCAATATTGCTCTGATTAATGATTCTAGGGATGGAAAAAAAATAATGAAAAGATGAAATAGCTAAAAATAGAGAGCATTGAGAAAGCGGAAATAGTAGATAAGAGGGTGACAGTCGTGAATGGAGAAGAACAGAGAAATGAAAGATTATTAAATAAGAATGTGAAAATTTACGGGTAAATGAGAGAAGAGAGTAATATCATAAAGCTTAAGGATAACTACTCTTAAGGTTTTAAGCCTAGGCTAATAAAGGCTTTTACCACCCGCCCACCCATCTAGCCACTTCTACCATCACCCATCATATAAATTCACTTACATACAATTGAAACGGACGGCCAAAATGGATGTCATTCATTTGGCCGATCAATAAAAGGCTTTACATTGGGTAACATGCAGCAAAGAATTGAACGGTGATAGCGATTGAATAAGCTTTGAAATCGGTTTAGAGTGAAACGGAAAATGTGAGGAAGAGGAGGAGGAGGAAGAGGAGGAGGAGGAGGAAGAAAAGGAGGGGGAGGAGGAGGAGGAGGAGGAAGAGGAGGAAGTGGGATATAGGTGGAAGTGGGGAAGGGAATGTGTTGAATAGGTATGGAATAGTGAAGAAGTATGAATATAAATTTTTGGTTGAGTGATAAAATGTCATCAAATGGAATGAAATTTCAAATGTTTATAACTTTTCCGCTCAAAAATTTGAAAAATTTTAAGCAATTGAGCGTTTCCTGCCATAGCTCAATGTTTATTGTACATGGAGTAGAAACGATTTTTTTCTTTAAATTTTATTAAAATACAATTTAATCAAAATAAATTTAAAAATATCAATTGAAAAAATAATAGCTGAAATTACGATATCTCTAGAAAGAGAAAGAGAGAGAGAGAGAGAGAGAGAGAGAGAAGAAAGGAAGAGAGAGATGAACAAAGATGCATATGTTAA